TCTCATCCTGTTTAACATTATGGCTTAAGTCTTATGTCTGCATAATTCTGAGACACCACGATGAGAATTTTTAACACTTTTTCTGCTAAACAAATTAATTTTACATAACTCTAACCATATCTGTATATTGTGCCTATGGATGGGATTGGATGGGATTGGACTCCCATCAAGCACAATCAAACCTCTACAAATGATTCAGAATGCAGCGGCACGACTGGTCTTCAACGAGCCCAAAAGAGCCCATGTTACACAGTCTGCACACTTTTCTGTAAAAAAAAAAAATCATGATAAATAAATGAATAAACATATCTGAATATTTATGTGTCTTTAGAAAAAAACCTATATAACTGTGTTTTTGCTTTGTTATAATCACTATAAAATGTAGATTGTTTTGGAAGGCAAACCAGTGTTATAACAGTACTTACACTCTTCAAAAAAATTACCATGTATTTTGGGGAATATATATTTATATATATATACATATATATATGCATATGCTTTGGAAACCCTCCCCCAAAATATTATTATTATTATTATTATTACTACTACTACTACTATTCTAATAGTATATTCTACATAAATAAATAATCTAATATTTTTCTAACAAACAAAACTTTGCTGTGGGAGATGTGTGGGCAGGAAAGACTTATATTATATATAAAATATATATATTAAAACAGTCTATCACATTCTGAGGTAAATAGCGTCCTCTACTGGTCAGATGAAATACTACAGGGGCGCATAATATATATATTTGAACACATTTTGGGACAGATCTCCCAAACCTTATTAAAATAATGAATCCACGCGAGAAATCTGAAACAGTGTTCAAAGCCATGGAAATTAGAACAATGGAGAACAACTATGAATAATTTATAAGTTTTCTCATCCTGTTTAACATTATGGCTTAAGTCTTATGTCTGCATAATTCTGAGACACGACGATGAGAATTTTTAACACTTTTTCTGCTAAACAAATTAATTTTACATAACTCTAACCATATCTACAGAATCCTAGTTCCTTTTGGGAGAATCATTTGTTCTCTGTTGAACTGGTTAAGCTCAAATGTTGCACTGTAATGGTTTCAATGGACGAACAAATAAAATTCACCAATTAATTTTACATGGCTGCTCACCAAATAAATTAACACGTGGGCATTAGCTATTTGAGTTGAAATGATTTTTTAACGATTTTTTTCTTGAAGACAATATTAAGAAATATCTGACTTCTGAACGCTATAATTGACCAATCAGAATCAAGTATGTCTTGTGGAATTCATGAACATTTGCCTTAATTAGCGAACTGCCATATTATATCCACCATTTACATTTATTAAAGCATCTCAAAAATGACTTTGTCTTAAATAATGTTATTATAAATAATTATTTAAGCTATTATACAGGAAATATATAAATTCTAAAAAGATATAGTTTTGTTCTTGGCAACACCAGAAGTTTACAAACAAGTCATATTGTGAGTCTGTGCTGGGCATGAGTTGCCGAGATCAGTGTGTTCTTCTGGAGCAGCCCAGCATGACAGGAATTTAACCCAAGACAAACCCGAGAGAGAGAGAGAAATAAAGAGAGTAAGAGAGAGAAAGAAGGAGTCTTGATTCATTCAAAACCCAAAGAAAGCAGCACAGCCCTTGATAGACAACAGACACGTGGTAGCAGTGAAACCAGAGGAGACTCTTGGGCCTATTCTCCATCTTTCATCTTGGCTGCAGCACTGAGAGAAAATAAGTGCAAAGATAGAGAGGGGAATTAGTGGATCTATATGAAGAGTTCCAATGCAAAAGCCTCTAAAAGCCATCTTGGTCAAAAATGAGATAATGATACTGAGTGAATGCTCTCCAAACATAGTATATGTTCATCAAGTACTTTCACTTCAAATGCGCTATAATCCCATCCTCAACCCATTCAGAAGTACCAGTACTTGCATAGAAACCTATACGTAGTAGCCAGAAATAAATGCTAATTATAAAGAAAAACGTCAGACGTACTTCGATGCTTTTGCATCTGAACACTTCATATAACTAAAAAGAATGCCCATACACTGGAATTACAGTAGGTGGTTTTGGTAAACAGAATGTTTATTTAATCTTACCTTCATTTATTTATTTATCTATCCTTTATTTAGCCAGGAGACTCCCATTGAGACATCACAATCTGGAAGTTTTCACTCGACCACAGGCAACCTAACTTGTGGAGTTCCTCAGGGTTCTATCTTATCTCCCGCTCACTTCTCTCTTTATCTTCTTCCTCTGGGCTCTATTTTCAGAAAACACAACGTCTCTTTTCACTGTTACGCCAACAAATGTATTTGCCTCTGACTAAGAAAACAAACTTTACCGTTGATACTCTTACTGCTCGTCTTACTGATGTCAAATCATGGCTTTCTAAAAGCGTTCTATTCTTGAACCCAGATAAAAAGGAAGTTATTGTTTTTAGTCCCTCAGAACATAGTGCAAGTATTCAACCCAATCTCGGGACCTTAAACTCCCAAATTTCTCCCCATGTCCGAAATCTGGGTGTGTTGTTTGATAATTCCTTAAAATTTGATAAACAAATTAGTGCTGTAGTAGGTTCTAGCTTCTTCCATCTTCGCTCCCTTTCTAAAATCAAGTAATTTCTCCCAAAAAGCTCTCTAGAGGTTGCTATCCATGCCTTTATTACGTCTCGGCTGGATTATTGCAACGCCCTCTATTTCGGAATATTAAAGTCCCAAATCTCTCGGCTACAAGTAGTTCAAAATGCAGCAGCTAGATTCTAGAGTCATGCCACTCCCCTCTTGCAATCATTGCATTGGCTGCCAGTTCACTATCGAATTGAGTTTAAAATATTGCTACTTGTCTATAAATCACTTAACAATCAAGCTCTGTCTTATTTGTCTGATTTACTCCACCCCTACTCCTCGAAGAGGGGACTAAGATCAGAGGGCAAATTTCTCCTTCAGACCCCTAGAACCCTCTTAAAAACCAGAGGATCTAGAGCCTTTGAAGTGGCTGGTCCCACCCTCTGGAATAACTTACCAGTTCACATCAGAATGGCTTCCACTTTATCTGAGTTCAAGTTATATCTTAAAACACATCTTTTCTCTCTGGCTTTTAACATGTAGTAATATGTGCCTTTGAATTGTTTTAATCTGTTTTTGTTGTTTTTATTTGTTTACTGATTTTCTCCTTGTTATATATTATTATATGTTGTGCAGCACTTTGGTCGGCCTTGTTTCGTGCTTAAATGTGCTCTAGAAATAAAACTGAACTTGAACTTGAACAATCTCTTCTTCCAGGGAGACCTGCTCAAGACGGCAGCACATAGTGTTTCACACAAAAATACAAATAACAAAAAAAAAAAAAAAAAAAAAAAAAGACAATCACAAAAAAAAAAAAAGAAATATAAAAAAAAGAAATTATTTTTCAATAATACTAGTGACTACTAATCACTAAAAAAAAGAAAAAAAGAAATCACATGCTGGTTTAAAAAAAAAAAAAAAAAAAAAAAAAAAAAAAAAAAAAAAAAAAAAAAAATACAAAAGGTACTCATACGAAGCAATAAAGTAAGATTAAAAAAACACAAGACTCCTTTAAAACAGATGTACAGGTGCATCTCTATAAATTAGAATGTCGTGGAAAAGTTCATTTATTTCAGTAATTCAACTCAAATTGTGAAACTCGTGTATTAAATAAATTCAGTGCACACAGACTGAAGTAGGTTAAGTCTTTGGTTCTTTTAATTGTGATGATTTTGGCTCACATTTAACAAAAACCCACCAATTCACTATCTCAACTAATTAGAATATGGTGACATGCCAATCAGCTAATCAACTCAAAACACCTGCAAAGGTTTCCTGAGCCTTCAAAATGGTCTCTCAGTTTGGTTCACTAGGCTACACAATCATGGGGAAGACTGCTGATCTGACAGTTGTCCAGAAGACAATCATTGACACCCTTCACAAGGAGGGTAAGCCACAAACATTCATTGCCAAAGAAGCTGGCTGTTCACAGAGTGCTGTATCCAAGCATGTTAACACAAAGTTGAGTGGAAGGAAAAAGTGTGAAAGAAAAAGATGCACAACCAACCGAGAGAACCGCAGCCTTATGAGGATTGTCAAGCAAAATCGATTCAAGAATTTGAGTGAACTTCACAAGGAATGGACTGAGGCTGGAGTCAAGGGATCAAGAGCCACCACACACAGACGTGTCAAGGAATCTGGCTACACTTGTTGTATTCCTCTTGTTAAGCCACTCCTGAACCACAGACAACGTCAGAGGCGTCTTACCTGGGCTAAGGAGAAAATTTTCAAGGTGACGTGAAAATTTCATTTTCCAGCAGGATTTGGCACCTGCCCACACTGCCAAAAGCACCAAAAGTTGGTTAAATGACCATGATGTTGCTGTGCTTGACTGGCCAGCAAATTCACCAGACCTGAACCCCATAGAGAATCCAATTTGAGTTGAATTACTGAAATAAATGAACTTTTCCATGACATTCTAATTTATTGAGATGCACCTGTATATCTATTTCACATGTATAGACACACAATTTAGATAGATAGATAGGAAAAAAGAAATATAATAAATAACTTGTATACATTTAGAAACGACCCCAGTTGTAACATTTTGACTGTCCACACGAGGTCAGTCTTATTCATTTTATAACTTTACATTGGGCATTGGATACGTTTCAATATGAAACATAAGACAAAAATCTTATTGGCTGCATGGCTTCTTAGACAGTCATCGCTTATAAATATCCTTTAATCAAACAAATAAAAGCATTTAAATGACACTGGACCTACACTACAGCCTAAAACTATAGTCATATAATTTGAATAACTCCTCAAAATCAGTATCCATGCACGTTAACACCTCCTTCAAGAGCGAGAAATGACTTTGAACAAATGTTCTATTCAAGCTCGTTGAATGAATAAACAGTCAAGCATGCGACAGACAGGGTCAGGATTTGTAAGAGAGACACCTCACTGCTGGTCCCGCCCTGTGAGACACGCGGACTAGAAGAATAGAAGCTGCTACAGTGTAACAAGTGATTTGTGTCTCTCCATTCTGAGGCCGTTTTGCATTCGTCTAAAACCCGCAGCGCGGAATAAAAGTTCCAAAACTGTAACAAGCGGTTTGTTTTTGATATATTTTAGAACGTTTTCGCTCCAGTCAAACGCCGTGGCGCAACACTGTAACAAAGTAGTTTGTCTCGCGACGTTCATTGTGCAACTAGTGGAATAGAAGGACAGCTCGGCGTGCGTGTTTGCGGTAACCAGCCCAAGCAGACAATGTTGGATGGTGTTTTGTGAGCGTTTAAAGGGAATGAGAGTGAACGAGGGTAGCACGCTTTGAGCACTGCAGCGTTCGAGGTAAGAGAGCCTTGCATTTCTACTAGAATTGCTGTGAAGTCATTGTAACGTAGGCTAATGGACACCGGCTCACCTGGTGCCGAGGATTTTTGCTTTGGGTGCAGATCATGTATTAGATGTTTTATTTAATGTAACTTCTTAACTGCAGTTAGATGTTAACCCCTGCTGGTAGATCCACACATAACTGCGTGGAACATGGGAGCTGGTTTCTAGTTGATCCGGGCTGGTCTTTAACTGGATTGCGTGTCATATTTACGTAAAATCTTTTTTTATGATTAGGGTAAAAAAAAAAGTGAAGATGCTTAAGCAAGTATTATTGTATTTACAGTGTGTTTCTAAATAAACGAAGATACTTTGGCTCGTCGGTATATTGATTTTGTTCACTTATAACCATTATTATTATTATTATTGTAAATAAAATTCAGAAAAATTCTATGTATATATTTCTAGAAGTCAGTATATTGTTTAGTCTTCTTACGGCAGTAAATAGTCAAAATATGGCATTTCGTCACTAGTCACACTACATATCATATTTTTTAATAATCATAAAATTGTGCTGCATATAAATGCAGTTATTGTCTAGTCTACCAACTACCATGTCCCAAAAACTAGCTTGACCTCCTTTAAGATGGTATAACAAATTGGTGGTTTCAGACCAACTAGAAAACTATCATGTTCCAAAACATATCAAGCAATCAGTGACAGTTTTATTTTAATTGCAATATTTTTATTTACATATTTTTTTTGTATATTTATATATTTACTACTTTTTTATTTCATGTTTAGTTGTTCAATTATTTATGTGGACTTTTATGTATTTTTGTTTTTCTTTAGTCATTTACCTTATTTTGTCTCTGTTCTGATCTTGAAAGAAAGATGGTTTTATAATTAGACTAAATAAACTAGTTAAACAAAACTGTTTGAATTATACACTACTGGGTGACAGGTGTCTTTGGGACAAACAAACATGTATTTGATGTTGAGCTGAACTCACCTCAGCAGTATGTTTATATCAATAGTTCGGTTTGAACTTCTGCTGTTACTCTAATCACTCTGTGGCCTGAAATAGAAGGCGTTCACATTTATCCTGAGCCTTTCCTCTTCAAAGTTGTCATTCAAAGCAGTTATCTCATCAGATTCCAGGACTTGACTATCTATCTATGTCATGTGTTGTTAGTGTATCTGAGTTGAAGGAAACCATAGCCTGTTAAAACGACAGAAACAGAGTAGGCTGTTAGTAAACATAAGATTTTGCCTTGCATATTGTTATTAGAAAATACGCTTTTTGTGTGTGTGTTTCCCAGACTCCACAGTCCTAGATTGTTGCTCTTGCGTCTAGAAGCTTTGGAATTCCAAGGGTGTGTTTTGTATTTGGTTGTCTGTCATTCCTGGCCTTCCTCTATTATTCATTTAAAGCAGTGGTTCTCAATTGGTTTTACTTCAGGACTTGTATTAGACATCAAGTTTTAACATAGATTATTGCATAAAAGTTAACAAAAAATCCTTAACATTTGACGCTTTTTTTTTTTTAATGTTAACATGAAATACACGCTTATTTATTTGCTATAGTAGCTATGCATGATAGTTGTGCTTTATTATTTGCATTTAGCATTGTCCGTGACTCACCAGTTGAGAACTGATCTAAAGGTTTCTGTATGCTGCACTTTTGCTCCTTTTGGAATTGCTTGTGGAAATCTTGTTTCACTGGCCAGCTCTAAAATCGAATAACCTTGCTGATGTTTTTAATTTCCTCAGTACTCTCAAGGTATTTGCCACCTTAATGAGAACCACACATGAAAACTGGAATATAGAAAATAATATTAATAGTAATGGCAGTTCAAGTTTTTATTGTTGATCCAAATTTCTCGAAATGCAGTTGTCAAAACAGTGAAAGTGTCCGCTAGCGATTATGGAGACGAAACCACTGCCAGAAGAAATCCAAGAGGGTTCATCTGTATCTCATTACAGAGAATGCAATTTTAGCTTCTTTCTGGTAGATGTTTTCTGTCGAGATCAGTAATGAGTTGACTGATTAGAATTCTTGGGGGATTGATCATTTAGGAAAGATTGCACCACAGTATCACTCATAATCTAATCTATGTTGGTGGTCATCATTGACCAAAAAAGGCATGATTAGCTTAGTTTTGCATAATGGTTCCAACTTGGCTCTTTTTTTTTTTTTTGGTATGTGGTACGTGCTTTATTTTGAAGTTTTAATTTTCAGATTCTGCGTATCAGAACTGAATATTTTAAAAGCCTCTAGCAGCTCTCACTGTACTTTGCCCTCCAGTCAGCAGTGGCCTATGGAATGACATAAAATATCCACACTTGTATTGTATGTTGTTGCAGCTGCCTATGCTATGTATTTAGTGTAATTTTGTGTGTGTGTTATTTTTTTAAAGAAATCTCTTACGCTTACCAAGGCATTTTTTTTAATTTGAATAAACAGTAAAAACAGTAACACTGTGAAATTTTATTACAATTTAAAATAACTGTTTTCTATTTGAATATATTTGAAAATATTTAAAAAAGTTATTCCTGTTATGCAAAGCTGAATTTTCATCATCATCACTCCAGTCTTCAGTGTCACTTCATTCTAATATGCCGATTTGGTGCGCAATAACCATTTATTATTATTGTCAATTTGGAAAATGGTTGTGCTGCTTCATAAAAATGGTGAAAATGGTTGTGCTGTTTTTCAGGATTCTTTGATGAATAGAAAGTTCAAACAAGCAACATTCACTTTGGATCAATTTAATGCATCCTTGCTGAATAAAAGTATGAATTACTTAGCCTAATCTTATTGACTCCAAATGAACGGTAGTGTGAAGGATTATTACATGTTCAATATAAGTTAAGCTCTATCTCCAGCATATGGCTTTGTGATGTTGATCACCACAGAAAATAGTTTCAATACTTCCCCTCAGGTGTTTTTTTTTTTTTTTTTAATTTTGGTTTTTAAAAGTCACGTACAATAGCAGTTCACAGGTTCAGGCAGTAAAACATTAATACACACTATATTTACAGTATAGCCACAAAACTTAACATAATACATTTTAACTTGAAACTAGTATAAAAGAATCACACTAAATGATCTAAATGTATATCTAGTCTTTCAGCTTTGTTGTCATGACAACATAGTGATAGTTTAATTTGTATTGAACCTGGAACACTCCTTAAAAGCAAGGCAGAAAAGCCACGTCTAGGCAAATGGAATGATCTGTATTCTGTGACACGGTACGGTTTCTCTGAATTGTATTTGGATAAACTGGTCAATTCACCACATTTTAGTAATCAAAGAGCTCCATGGTTACACACAGATCCCAGGAAGCCCAATTCTCCCAATGGAGGCTGTAGGTTTCAATGTTTTCCAGACGTGCGGAGGATTGTGCTGATGTGGAATCAATAGAAATCTAATATAAACCCAGTCTTTCCCAATGGAGTCGACCTGCTAATCTTTCAGTTAATGCTCAGTTTTTGAGCACTTGCAGACTCTAGAAGAGCTTTTCCAGTTTTATTGAGTGTCTCCGTCAGCGACTGATATCACATAAGTCTCCTGGGCCTCCTTTTTTTATTAATAAAAGCGGCCAGGCAGACAGAAACTGTGGCCTTGTTCTCTGATTCAGCACATACTTGAGGAAAGTCCAGCCTTTTAGACTCAACCAACAAGACTGTTCTCATGAACATCCGTCGATTGCCCAGAAATGCCAGATATTTAGTTTGCTAAAGGAAGAGCTGCTGAATCGCATGTACAGCATGCCGTTTCAGTTTTGAACAACGAAGAACGTCATCGGTTAGATGAAGTTTGATTGATTGGTTTTAGCAGTCAGCAGAAGTATGTTCTAGTAGTTTGTTTATGGAAAGAAACACTCACATTTTAATAAGTGTTTTGTCCAGATTCTCTTGCAGTGCTGTGGAAAACCACACAAATGTTTCAGAGTGTTTTGCCTCCTGTTGGCCCCCAAATTTTGCTGTGCAACCAACGCTTTTTATGTGTATTAATATTCGGTTTTTGACTTCACAAATGTAACATGATTAAAATTAGCTGGTAACACTTTACAATAAGGTTCATTAGTTAACTACTTTGGTTAACATGAACTAAGCATGAACAATACTTCTACAGCATTTATTAATCTTAGTTAATGTTAATTTCAACAGTTACTACTGCATTATTAAAATCAAAGGTTAGTCTAAAATCATTAGTTAGTGCGCTGTGAATTAACATGAACTATGAACAACTGTATTTTCATTAACTAACATTAACAAAGATTAATAAATACTGTAATGTATTTTTCATTGTTTGTTCATGTTAGTTAATACATTAACTAACATGAACTAATAGAACCTTATTGTAAAGTGTTACCAATTAGCTTTAGATAGACACTTGTGACGTGGCTTTTCCAGTTAAGTCATTGCCACAGTTCACCGTGCTCATTGTTGTGCTCGACAGACTCGTTGTTGTTCTACAGTAAAGGCATTATGTAATTTCTCAGCAAAGAAGAACTAGTTGGTCTGTCAGCTGTAACCAAAGATTGAAAGTGCCTCATTAGTGTAAATCTGAGGATGCCTGACATGTGCAGGAAGCACCGTGTTACCTCTAAGAGTGCATGTGTGTGTACGTGCTTTCAAGACTATTAGCAAGGCTCTTCTCTTTGTTGTTGTACACCTGCCAAGTGACCTGACTCTCCCCTTTCTGTGTGACATCATATCGTTCATCTTTTACCTACCCTGAGGTCGTCAGTGCATGTTGAGTTTTGCGGAATTGGGTTACTTGCTAGCACCAGACACACACATTGTTAGCGTCAACTTGAACTCAAAATTGAGCTTATTTGCTAAAAAATCAGTACATGTTCATAGCCTTGCATGATTCCTCAGTGCACATTATTCCAAAGAAAAAGCCTTTGTATAATAACTTAAATCTAATAACTTGCTCTGACTTTGAAACGTTTTTTCTTTGGCTCACGTCACCTTGGATGGGATATAATGATTAGTTAACATTT